CAGAGCTGTTGATCAACAGAGGCAAACTATAACCTGCATCCTCTAGTCTGCAAAACACATTCAAGTTGTCAGATAATTTAAAATTCTTGGTGAGATTTGGGAGAGGCACTTGGTGGCCAAGGGGAGAGGAATCTCGTCACCATCAACACCTGTTGAGGGCAGAGAACTGGCACTACCTAATCCACTAGAACACCAGCACCCTTCCCCTGATGGGGGACCCTTACTCAGATACTGTTTGCACCGGGTTTGCGTAGGTCATCGGGTTCTGGTATGGTTTGCCTGGAGTGGCCCATAACAGAACCTAATGCCTGGAAACCAGTAAGAGCTCAGCGAAACCATGCTGACTACAACCTATCCAAGTCCAGGAGACAAAAACCCTCTTTTGCAAGCAGAGGCCAGATTCCCTGGTGCAGGCATTGCAATGCAGACGTCCTGGCCGAGGGCATCCGTACCCAGTCCATTTAAGAGTAACCTGTACAGGTACCAGAACAATGGGAATCTCCTAGAATTCATCTCAGAGCTGGGGAATGAGCCATTCCTGGGCAGCTGAAAGCAATGGCTTCTTCTGAAGTCTCCACGGGGGTGGGGGGGGGATCGACTTCACTGGAAAAGGGAGTTGGGGGTGCTTCTCTTCCAGCACAGGTGCTTGGAGGAAGTCTCCCAGAAAGTAAGCCAGCCTCAGGCAGGGTGAGGGGAGATTGTCCAACCTTTTCCCAGTACAGACACCCAGGTGTGGTCTTTTCCTCAGACAAACAGAAGACCTGAGACAGGCCACAGATGAAGCAGATCTTCAGGTAAACAGGTGGGCAACTTAGCACAGGGCTGTGCACGCCAGGCACTCTGAACCATTCGCTGATTAGCGTGTTGAAGCTGATCTGCCTCTTTACACAGCTTATTGTTTTCTGTTCAGAAGCTGACCAGCCTTTATCCCATTCTGTATTTCACTAAATTCTTGGTAGTTCTTTTCGCTTGTTGTCACCAAAACCTGGATCATGTGCTTTGGCCCTGAAAGGACGGTAGCTCACAAGGGACACCCTGTGGACCTGGGTCACATCGCGCTGTTTCAACTCCTGAGGAGCCCACAGTGAGCTGAGAACCACTTGCAGCTTAGCTGAGCTCCCCTAACGAGGGAGGCGGTGTGATCCTTGACCAGCCCTTCCCACCGGACAGAGAGCACTTGCAAAGAAAGCCAACTGGGGGGGGGGGCAGCCGCTACCAGGGGCCCCTGCCGCAGCAGGCCTACCGCCCGCAGGTGCCAGGGGGCCACAGGTTCACAGGCCCATTTGACTTCACAATGAAAGTAGGAATTCTCAGGGTGTCAAACGGGAGATTGTAAACAGCTGCCTGCTGGATTTAGCAGGGCCTTCACTTCACAACAGAAGAGCCTGAGATTCTAGCGAAACACCTCAAGAAATGGAAAGGACAAGGTTCTTCCTTGCACAGCGTGGCGTCAGGGTCGCTTTCTGAGAATGAACGCAGAGAAGTCTGTGGCAACAACACAAAGGCACCTGCTTCCTAGCGTCTGATTGGATCACGGCTCCCTCTTCTATTGTCAGGGTCCTCAGGCAAGAACATCTGAACAGCTTCCATGTAGCACCTGCTGAGAGGCAGGTCAGCATCAGCCAGAGAAGCCGCAGGAAGGATGGTCTCTCTCCAGGCTGGAGAACTGTGTTCCCTTGTTCCACCCACGGTGACAAACTCACTTGCTTGGGTGGCTTTCCCTTCCCTGCTCGGCTGCTGAATTCCATTCAGGACAGTATCTGGAGCACTAAATAGGCTAAATTTTGATAGCTGCAGATACTCCCTGACTCCTGAGGTCAAGACAGAAGCCGCACCTACCAAAGTTCTTCTTTCAGCTCCAAGATGGTCTGGGATACTATCTTGCACAAACACACGCAGAGTCCTCCCACTACCCATTTCCAATTCTCAGCTTTCATCAACTACAAGAAAGGGAAAACCTTTACAGAAGAGAATCGAATGCTTTATGAGCCGTTAATATGAGATGGCAGACTCAGCGAGAAACTGAAAGCAGCGACCCTGCCGACTGAGGAGGCAGAGCAACCCCTCCATGAGAAAAGGCTGCAATGTTTGCAGTTTTCTGTTTAGCGAAAAAGGAGGGCGAGGGGAGACATGCGCATGCAATCACGCATGCAAAAATGGAGAGAGACAGTGAGAAGGACGGGTGCACACGGCATGTCCAGCCACCGTACCTTCTGAACGACCCCAACTAGTTATGGCTCCCTGGAGCGCTTAATAGACCCACCACAGCTTGGGCCACCTGAATCAGGGCAATAAAGGAAGCCACGGTCTAGTCCCAAAGCCAGGCAGACCTTGGCACGAGCGACACAGGGCTTGCTGCTCACCCAAGGAGCACGTGGGGGCAGGTCTCCCCAGGTGCCCGGGAGTGGCAAGGCAGTGCTTGGGACAGCGGGGAAAGGCTGCCACGCAGCCACGGCACGGCCTGACCTAGAACACAACCGGGAGCATTATGTGCAGAGAGGCGCTCGAGGAGCGCTTCTGGGCCTACACCGTCCTTGGATTCCCAGGGGGCTGAGGCGGTGCGGGAGCATTTCCATGGCTACGTCAAGTGTGTCAGCGGCACCGTTGGCAAGTCAGACGTAGGCGACGTCACGTGCTCTTTCTGGGACTCCGTCTGAAGAGCCCCCAGAAGCTTCACCTGGTGCCAAATGCAGCTGCCGGGCTGCTACCCAACGCACGGTGTCATGGTTACATCACCGCACTACCGAAAGATCAGCCCCTGTTGCAATTCCTTTCCAAGTCCAATGCAAGGTGTGGATTTTAATACCTGAAGCACTAAACGACCTGTGTTCTGGCAGTCCGAGGCACCTTGGCATTAAACCTGCTCAGCTGGAAAGATCAACAGCAAAGGCCCTTTTGAAGATGCCTCCACTTGCCTTGGCCGACTTGTTGCTGCCTTCCATTCCGTTGCTACCTAATGCAGGAACAACCTCTCTCTGGAATGGCAAATGCTCCCCACTTGCTCAGGAAGTGGGTGAAGACGCATCTGTTTAACATGGCTTTTTAAATGGTTAAATCGACTTTTAATTGACTTTGCATTGACTTTTAAGGTTCTTTTAATGTTTTAAGAGTACAACCGTATGCATGGTTAGATAACTCCCAGCATCCCTCAGGTCCTACAATTCCCAGCATTCCGTAGCCAGCCACCCTAAGACCTTCCCTGTCTAGAAATGCATAGGATCGTACCCGTGCATGATTTTGGTTGAATGCAGTTTATTCCAACACACACTGCTAACAACTGCCCCTTTGCTGGATGGGTGCAATGCAGAACCCTTGAAGAAGCCCTCGCCAAGCAAAACTGCATTTCCTGTATAAACATGGAAACTGAGCAAGTCCAAAGGGGTGTCCCAGGCCATCTAGTCTGACCTCCGGCACCAGCCGGCTCCACTCATGACATGCCTACCATGCGCATGTCCAGCCTATCCTTGAACATCTGCACCGATGGGGCCTGAGCCACCTCCCGTGGAAGCCCATTCCATGCTTTTGGGTCCTGTCAGGAAGTACTTCCTAGAATCCAAATTGAACCTTGGTTCCCTGAGCTTGGCTCCATTGGAGCGCGCCCTGCCTTCCTCTGCAGGGGAGAACAGATCTCTCCCCACCTCCGTGTGGCACCCCCTCACATACCTGTATGTCGCCAACAGATCCCTTCAGAGTCTCCTCTTCTGCAGGCTGAAGAGACCCAGTTCCCTCAGTCTCGCCTCATACGGCTTCCCCTGCAAACCGGCCACCAACCTTGTGGCCCTATGCTGCACTGACTCTAACCTGGCTATATCCCTCCTGTAATGAAGGGCCCAAAACTGAGCACAATACTCCAGTTGCGGGCGCACTAGAGTCGTGCAGAGTGGTAGTAATACCCCTCTCGATCTAGAAGCCACACTTCTGGCTATGCAACCAAGGGTGGCATTTGCCCTCTTGCCCACCGCATCACACGGCTGACTCACGTTTAGCCTGCAGTCAACCAGTACCCTGAGGTCCCTTTCACAAGTGCTGCTCTCCAGCCACTTGTCCCCTAACCTGTACGTACGACACCTATTCCTATGCCCCAGGTGCAAGACCTTGCACTTCTCCACCTTGAATGCCATCCTGTTGCCCACTGCCCATACAGCACCATAAAGTATCCTAACTGCTTGTGGCAACTACTGAATTTCTACAGCCATTGAAATTATATCCATGTGGGCTGCATGCTCCGGAACAGGACTTCATGCGCCCGTGGCCTGATCGCAAGGCTATCCGGGGGCTACACACAGCAGGGCTGCCCCAGCTGAAGAAATGAGAGACCTGGAAGCTCTGGTGCGGGCAGTGGGGCAGGGTTGGCTCCTCGGGAGCAGGGCTGGAGGGATTCCGGTCTGGGATGCATGAAGTGAGGTCACCCAAACAGGACTGGTGGAGGGCAAGTCGGTCTCACCGGCCCAGAACGAGGCCAGGCCATCAAGAATGGGCTCTGGGAACCACGTGGCTCGTACACACTCGGTGTCAAAGCAAGGGACTGCCAAGGGGCTCTCAAAGAAAGGACATCATGCTCAGGGGACCCTGGAAATCCTAGACCCAAGGAGCCGTGATGGGTCCACCAGAAAGAACCTCATGCGGTCCCACAGCGGCTACTGCACACTGTGGTCACACCCTGGAAAGAAGAAACAGCGCCTCGCATGGCATGTGCCAAGTGCGATTCCCTGGTTTCAGCGAACCCCAGCTTCCCAGAAAGTGGCTTCCACAATGCTAGTCCACAAGAATATATCACAGACCGGAATTCTGGCCCCCAAATGCAAAGCCGAATGCTACATCTGGGGGAAATGCCAGCTTACAGTGGGGGTGAATAGAAGCGCCAGGCTGGAAAACAGGCTTGCAGGCAGACACGAGGTCTGCCAGCCCTCGGCTGCCGCTAACCGCCTGGGAAATCCCGAGGGCTTCAGCCCGGCACACCGAGCGCCAGCGCCTGCAACGACCGGCCTTGCCCCACTTACATTGATCATAGCATTGGAGGTGATCCGGAAGAGGGTGGCTCGCTCGTTGACCGCCTTGATCTTCTCCCCGCTCTCGGCAGGCAGCTTCAGGTTCTCCAGCTCACTCAGGGACCGCTGGAGAGCTGCCCCGTGCTTGGCGATCAGGTCGTTGCAAGTGCTGAGATCCTCCAGCTTACTGGAGAGGCCCTTCAGTGTGCTGTGCAGTTCACTCTTGTCAGAATGCGAGGCGGGCTCCTCATCGCCGGAGTCATCTGTGGAGGGAGGGAGAGACAAAACGGTTGCCATGGTTACTCGCCGGACGGCACGAAAAACACAGCCATGGTTTGTGCCACGGAGAGTGAAGCAAGCCCTCCATTTACAGAGTGCCGGTTCTCCTGGCTGTTCTAGGTACCAGAGATGCGGCTCAGTTCTCTCTGGAGCACTTCCTGAAGGAAACACAACTTCCCTGGAAGAAGAGAACAATGACTCACACTGGGCTTCCCTACCTTCTGCCTGCTACGAGCATCTAAGGGGCATGTTCTGCCTGCAAGCATGAGAAGGCACCAGAGGAGTTTGAGCGAGATTGCTTAAGCCTTCCGAAGCTGCAGAAAGCCGCCTCAGCTGCCCTCAGAGCCGTTTGAATTCCAAGCCTAGAAGCCCAGTTTTCAAGACAGCCCTCGGCGGCCAACACCCTCGTTCCTTCTGCAAGGAGCGATCGATTTTCTTCCAGCCTCAAGGTTGAGGAAAGAAAGTGAAAAGAGAAATGACCCTGGACTTAACAGCGGCTAAACACTGTTGGTAACATGGGGAAATCCCAGAACAAAAATGGATAAGCAGACAATAACCACTTACGTACTAAAGGAACCACAAGTAATAACACGACAAGCGACAGGCTGTTGCGGCTTGAACCGAGAGAGAAGAATGTGCCGCCCCATTTAAGCCAGAGGCAGGTAATTCGTTCAGCAACAAGGACCTACCTGACAACATTCTAAGCTCTAGGGAAAGAATTTGTGCATTTTGTTAAATATACACAACCTGAGAGAATTTCCACATTATCCAAATGAACAAGGTGGGTATCGGGGCATAATAAATCTTTTTTTTTAACCCAGTCAACTAAGCTGTGCAACTTTTGTCTGAACACAGAAGTATCAGTGATTCAAAGAAAGCTTCTGGAGAGGATTAGGAGATCGGCGTTTCAGGACATGCTATTAAATGCCAGTTTGTACCTTCCAGAAAATCCCTGGCCAATTTTAGCGGGGAAGCAAACACAGCCCCAACATGAATTCTCGGAGGCTGGTGGTGCTGAAGCTGCTGCCCCAACCTCTCTGCCCAGCCCTTCATACAGTCCCGCTTCCCTCGGCCAAACCACCAGCACGGAGTTCCTGCAGTGGCACATCACGAAAGAGCCACCCCTGACTGTTCCCTGTCCTGCTTCACTGGTGAAACCCGCGTCTCCATTGCCCTTCCATGCCTCAACATCTTTAAAATTCCCACTTGCTCTGTTCCACATTTACCTTTAGGAAGAACTTCCTTGGCGCATCTAGTGCCCCCCCCATTAGTGTCCCCCCACCCGACCAGTCCAGCTTTGGCCCGGGCCTTCCTACCACCGAGGGAGAGGCTGCCCGGCAAGCATCATGGCCAAGGCCTTTCCTCCACTGCGTACAACTTGACGGAAGCAGGAAGCGACTTTAGAGACGAGTCTTCCGGAGCCGCCATTCCAGAAATGACCTCGCTTCTCCTGCCATTTCATGGTCCACCAGTTCCAACCACAGTGGCTCCTATTCTGAATGTTTGGGCCTTGACTGCAACTCGCCAGGCTGTGGTGCGGGAGCTGTACGTGCGGCTAACGAGCCACGCACAGCCAGCAACAGCCCAGGGGTCCTGGATGGTTTGTTAATCACATGAACAACCCACCCTGATTCAATTCAGCGACAACAGTAAGCTGTGGCTTACTGAATATTCACAGAATCGTAGCGTTGGAAGGGCCTGTGAAGGCCACCGGGTCCCACCACTGCTGTTGCGGGACACCAGTGACACCAACCCACTCGGATGGCTGCCCAGTTCCTTTCTGAATGTCTCCCAGTGTGGGAGAGCAAGGTGGGCACCAGCGCACACTGTCTCTCAGCTACTGATAGGCTGCAGAAAGAGAAATACTCACCCTTTGCAAAGGTAGGAGGATGGACCACCCGCAAGCCATCAGGTGAGCACCTGTGTGCATCACAAGCACCTGCCTCTCTCTGCGGCTGCACCCAGAGCAACACAGAGCAATCCAAGCTTCAGTCCATCTCGCGTGCCCAGAGGACCCAGGGCCAGTGTTCAGAAGTAATTAAAACCAGACGGTGGGACAACTTGCAGCTGGGGGAAACAGACACCCGATCCTGCCTGATGCAGAAGGAAACTAGAAGTGCCAACCTTGAAAAGACTGTCTGAAGCCAATCGTTGGCCTCTGCCTCTGCCTGGCTCAAGGGCACACCAGGAGCTGAGCTGTGATTACGCTTCTGTGAGAATCTGCAAAGCCCAGGCCAAGCACGTGCTGCCTGGAGCCACACCTAAGACACATCCCAGCGTTAGTCAAGTGGTGAGCACAATCCTTTTTTGGTATAATGAATTTGATTAACTCTAATTTATTAAAAGTATACTTCAGAGGAAACTGCTATTATATAGTAAACCACGTCTAACCAAAGGGGAACTGACAACAAGAAAAAGGAATGGATTAATAAAATCCACCACACTACTGGAGAGAACGATCAAGAATTAATAGGATAACGCTCTCTTCAAGGTTACCGAGACTGCATTCTCCCAGCAGGTTACAAATAATTTCCTCGTTAAATAACAAGCAGCTCTCCTCAGTGGGCTTCTCCCAAAGTAGCTGTGTTGCTTCAGCCAGCTTTCCTGCGAATCCCCTTCCTCCGCTTCTGCTGTGTGCTGACAGCAGCCCTGGAAAAATCGAGCAGGGAATCCGATGCAGGTCTGCTCTGAAGAATGTCCCCCTGAGTTCGGGGGGGCCTCCTGCCCGGAAAGTTCACCCAGCCAGAATGGAGAGGGACAGAGGAGCACCCCAGAGGGGCAAAGGAGGCAGCAGGGTGGAGGGATGCTTTGCCCTTTCGGGGTGCGCGTTTGCCGGCTGGGGTGCCAGCGCATGGGTCTTTTGCCTGCCTGGTAGGTCATTTGCCAAGTCTTTCACACAGTTGGTTTTTGCTTGGGTTTGCATGCAAGGGTGAGGTGGGGGGTTGCCAGAGTCCGGCTGCGTTCTCCATGTGGTGTCCTGCCTTGCATCTTTCTCTGAGAGTCTGCCTCTGGTAGAATGACCATCTTGTTTTGCTTTGCAGGGGGTTATATAGGACTCAGGCCTTCCCCCTGCACTGGGACTCTTCTTCATGAGGGGTTTACTCCACTGCTGTGCAGGGGCTTCTTTTTCCATTTTAACTGTGGGAGGGAAAGTTCCCCCCTTTCCCCTGCGGTTTGTTCTTCTTTGCCTTTCCGTATCTTCTGTTAACCAACCACAAGGTGATGCTGTGGCACCCCAGCAGGATAGCAGATTTTCCACTTTTCATGAGGCTTTTAGTTCCAGTTTGAAATTAGTACCAGACTCCCCTTGCTCTAAAAACCATGTGAACATGGCCGGAAAACATAGGAGAGGCTCTGGCTGATGACAATGTTGTGAAAAGGCCCTGCAAACCTCTGTGAGCAAGAAGGCACCATGAGTGCACAAGAAATACCTTGAGTACAGCAACCCTTGTGCTTGGGTTTCTAGAGTTACCTCTGAGCTTCATTAGTTTTCCTTCTGTGAAATGGGTGCGGGTTGAAAAAAGCATTTGCGTCGTGTGCCTCTGCCTTGGACTCAGGCTTTTTGGACAAATTACGTTTCTTTTAGCATCCCGTTTCCCATCTCAGAAACAGGTGCTTTGCGACTGGCCACAGACTGGCGCATGGCAACTCTTGCAAGGGACCCCACTGCACTCAAAACGCCAATGCATTCACCAGCCCCAAAAGAATGGGGCCCGTCCTAGCAGAGGGTTGCAAAGTATCAGGCCATGGGGCCAGATGTGGTCCTCCAAGGAGTTTCTGGCTAGCCTCGTCCCCCGGCCCCATGCCCATCGCCCTGAACACCAGCCTTCCGGTAGTTTCTCAGGAAACATGCACGCTTTTGGCCCCGCCTAAAGGGTTGGGTGGCCCATGATGAGAGTCAGCTCCCAGCAGCAAGAGCGTCAAGATAAAAGATGTTGATATTTTTGGACCTGGCTCTTTTGGCTTTGCCTCACCATCGCTGGCATGTGGCCCATGAAAATGTCTTTGAAACAGGATGTGGCCCTTGGCCTGAGATTCAGCACCCCAGTTGTGGATCAGAAAGCCTCTGAACATGGGCAGGTTTTCTCATGCTCTAAGCATACTCAACTTGATTCTTTCAGCCCTCGCATAATGCAGATCTGGAGGATTACCTGGGGGTGGTCATGGCTTGCCCAGGGTTACCTTCTGGGTTAACAGAAACACCCAATGCCCACAGCAGGCACTGGGGACTCCAGAACCCATTCTCCCCCACCATCATGTGACCTGAATTTTTGTCCACCAAGACTTTTGGAAATCATGCCACGGGTAAGTATCTTGTGGGAAAGCTGTGGCAGACCATGGGTCTCTGCTGAATTTTTCAGGGCAACCGAATTCCAGGGGATCACAGTTCCGTCTGGATAGGATGGGGATGCAAATTTCTCTCTACAAATTTCAGGAAGCGCCCCTGCCTGGGTGGACATGCACCTGCTTTAAAAAGAGTAGAGCTCAAAATGGAATCACAGCTTCACAAGGGAAAAGTCACAGCAGGAAGCACGAACACAGAGGAGGTGAAACTAAGCCAACTGTAGGCGATGTGGGATTCATTAGACAGCACTGGCTGGGGTGAGGCTCTGCTGTTCTGGAAAAGTCCCAATTAAGGGGGTACATTCAGCTTTGCAAAAAGCCTCCACCCCCAATGCCAGCTCAGACAGTGAACGTGAACCAAAGAAGGAGCCATTCCAGGAACCTAAATGAGAATATCGTTCCGTACTGGGCAAGGTCATAATGAATCTCTCAAGGATCAAACATTTCTCCAGACATCAGTGAAAATGTTATGTCTCTCCTTCCTTACAAGCATGCAAGTGGACTGATGAAAAGCCGATTCTGAGTGCTCGAGTTTGGCTGCTCGCAGAAATGCTCGTCTGAAAAGCCAGGCAATAGAAGGCAGTGCCCTGGCAAGCTGGGAGGGTCATGAACTCCACAAGGAGGAGAAGGAGTTTCAACA